TGTTGTTGAAGTAGTAGTAGTAGTGGTGGTAGTAGTAGTAAATTCTGGCATAGAATAAGGCTAATGGAAGACTCAAGAATACAAAAAATCATTCTTGGCTGGAAAACAAAAGGAAAAAAACAAGAAATCGAACAAAGGAAACAGTGGAACAACAAATCGAAGAAGACGCAAAAGCTCAAAATATGTCATTAATAAACCTGGTAATAAATCTGACGACGGAAAATCGGACCACATTTCTTGAAGCACTGTAGGCACATCCCTGAGCCCATCCAAAGGAACACAGTTAGTATTTTTTAGCAGGTAAGGCCACTTCACTGCAGTACCCGGGTCGCTCCCCTCCTTCTGGGTCACATCCCCAGAAGCTCGCACCTTTAAGTCCACCTTCACAGGAAAGTGAGGCGGGGTTCTCGGGCAACAAGACCAGGCCAGAGTCAACCGTGAGGCATTGCTTTTTCCTCACTCGATGACTCCGGGCTAGGATATATATATTTAAAATTAAAGTAGCAGTAGCAGGGCAACAGTAGCTCAGTTGGTAGAGCATTGGCCTTTGAGCCAGAAGGTCGTGGGTTCGAGTCCACCTCAAGAGTTTCACCTTGGGGAACACTGCAGATGTAAAGTGCCAAACTGCCGTTGTGTCCTTAGGCAAGACACTTCACCCCCATTGCCTACAATGAGTCTGGTGTGTGTGTGTATGGTTGGTGGTGGTCGGAGGGGCCGATGGCACATACTGGTTGCCTCGCTTCTGTCAGTGTGCCCCAGGGCAGCTGTGGCTACAGTAGTAGTTTATCACCACCGTGTATGGAGTGAAATAATAATGACATGTAAAGCGTCTTTGAGTGTCCAAAAAGCGCTATATAAAACCAATGCATTTTTATTATTAGTAGTAGTAGTTGTTGTTGTAAAAGTAAAAGTATTAGAAGTAGTAGTAGTAGTAGCCAGTGTTGGGATTACCAAAGTACCAATTTGATATAATATATTGCTATTTCACATTATGTATTGTGTTTTTGAAGGTACTTGTCCAACACTGGTAGTAGTGGTAGTAGTAGTAGTAGTAGTAGTAGTAATAGAAGATGAAGCAGTAGTAGTAATAGTAGCTGAAGTCGTATTAGTAGAAGTTGTAGTTGTAGCACAAGTAGCAGTATTTGTAACAATAGTAGTATAATAAGTAGTAGTAGCAGACCTGCTGCTGGTCCTGGGTGCAGTGACACAAGGCCGACACCAGGGGGCGCGCCACTTCTGTGTCTGGTTTTATCTTTAAATGTGTTTGACTTTGAATGTTTATCTGGAGTTAGTCACAGCTGATCACCCACGGCAACAGACAGCATCGAATTATCACCAAGGTCAAGAATCACATCACTGATTTATAAAACACCAGGTCCCAGAGAGAGACCAGAGAGGGACCAAAGAGAGACCAGAGAGAGACCAGAGAGAAACCAGAGAGAGACCAGAGAGAGACCAGAGAGAGACCAGAGAGAGACCAGAAAGAGACCAGAGAGAGACCAGACCCAAGAGAGAGACCAGAGAGGGACCAGAGCCCAGAGAGAGACCAGAGAGGAACCAGAGTCGAGACCAGAGACCAGAGAGGGATCAGACCCCAGAGAGAGACCAGAGATGGACCAGAGAGAGACCAGAGATGGACCAGAGAGAGACCAGAGAGGGACCAGAGCCCAGAGAGAGACCAGAGAGGGACCAGAGAGAGACCCCCAAGAGAGAGACCAGAGAGGGACCAGAGCCCAGAGAGAGACAGAGAGAGACCAGAGAGAGTCTCTTCCTCATTAAAGCTAACACTATGGTGATGTCACACTCAGTCAGTCTGATTCAAGGTCAAATTCAAAAATGCAAATCCGAGCTGTGAGTGGAACTGAAGCAGTTTCTGACACTGAGGACTCAGTAATCAGAGCTGCTAATCAGAGAAATGACTCCCAGGTCTGGAGGGGGTCTGAAGTGGACCAGGTCCGTTATAGGTTCACCTGGTTTTTAAGGTTCACCTGGTCCTCCACATTCAGAGGAAGTGAGGACCAGGACTAAAGCAGGTTAAAGCAGGTTTAAAGCAGGTTTTAAGCCTGAACTAGAACTAGAAGCAGTAAGTAGTAGCAGCAGTAGTAGTAGTAGTAGTAGTAGTAGTAGTAGTAGTAGTAGTAGTAGTAGTAGTAGTAGTAGTAGTAGTAGTAGTAGTAGTAGTAGTAGTAGCAGCAGTAGTAGCAGTAGTAGCAGTAGTAGCAGTAGCAGTAGCAGTAGTAGCAGTAGCAGTAGTAGTAGTAGCAGTAGTAGCAGTAGCAGTAGTAGCAGTAGTAGCAGTAGCAGCAGCAGTAGTAGTAGCAGTAGCAGTAGTAGCAGTAGTAGCAGTAGTAGCAGTAGCAGTAGTAGCAGTAGCAGTAGCAGTAGTAGCAGTAGTAGCAGTAGTAGCAGTAGTAGCAGTAGCAGTAGTAGCAGCAGCAGTAGTAGCAGTAGTAGCAGTAGTAGCAGTAGTAGCAGTAGTAGCAGTAGTAGTAGTAGCAGTAGTAGCAGTAGCAGCAGTGTGTAATGGTGTATGGACTCCTGCTGCTAGGTCAGATCGATGGTGAATGCGCCGCAGAAATAGCATTTAATTTAAAAAGAAGAATGTTTGGCCCCGAGGAACAAACACAAGAGGAAGGCTTGGGTTTGGAGGAAAATCTCCAAACAGAGACTGAACAAGGACTGGGGCTTGTTCACACGAAAGGCACAAAAGTGTGACAAAAGGCCAAAAATTAGATTTTAATAATCAGAAGATATTTTATGTTTTTCATTGTTTCCAAATCCCTCCTCTGTCCATAGGAAGTTTCTAGAACATAACTGTTTTATACATTAGACAAGTTTCCTGTAGCGGCCCTGTTTATTTTATGTAACGGACCTGATGATTAGACAGAATGAGCTTTGCAGAAGTTTGTTACGTATTTTCAGATGTCCACATTTGATTAAGAGATTCATAAAGTCAACCAATTAACTGTGAAACCAGATCAGATTTTTTTCTTCTCAAGTTTAATTGTTAGCAAAAAATGGACGGAAACCATCACGACCGTTACACATTTGTCAAGGGTCATTTAATTGTTTTTATGTTTTTATTATTTTAACAATACCTTTTTATATCAAGCGATTTACTTATGTTGTGTTAACCATTTTCATTTTGTGGGATTTCATCTGCCGCTTTTTCAGACTGAGGACATTCTATTTTCTGTGTAACTGGCGTCACAGTAGAATGGTCAAATCAGAGAATGATTTGGTCGTTTAAAATGTCGCAAAAAATATATTTGTCAATCTTTCCTTTTGATTTTATCCACACTATGTCTTCAATGTGTCTGTGACACTAATTTTAGTTTTTGAGTCATAACCTTTTAAAGTCCAGATACTTTAATTGACACTGTATGTGAACACACTCACTTTGAAGATGTTTTCTACATAGGCATGACCACTTCTGAGAAGAAGAATGGAACAGAAGTCAATCCAACTGTTATGAAATGCACTGTGGTAACTTTCAAAACATTTGATCAAAAAATAACAGAAAAAAGTCTAAAAATTAAAGCTGATGTTTTTACATTTCAAATGATTTCTCTGCTTCAGTCTCTGCTTCAGTCTCTGCTTCAGTCCTGGTTGTTTTGGGGAAGTCCTGCCTAGATTGGGTCATGTTGTTTTGGGTCAGCATGGCGGCCATGACACTTCCATAAATCACAACATTTCCCTTTGGACAGAATACCACAGCACGATACTGCCACCCCCACTGTGTAAGAGCACTGCATACAGTGATACTATGGCTCCAAGAAGCATAGTAGCAGGGCTCAAGCAGGTTAAAGCAGGACTAAAGCAAGATCTAAACCAGGACTAAAGCAGGTCTAGGTGCAGGACTCAAGCAGGACTATGGCAGGACTATAGCAGGTCTAAAGCAGAACTAAACAAGGACTTAACCAGGACTAAACTAAAATCAAAGAATTGTTCCCAAAAGCGCTGAGTGGACTGTTTCAAATGTAAATCTGAATCCCCCCTCCTCTCCAACTCTCAGATCATAACCGGTCTGAGGCGGGTCCCGTGGTGAGGGGGGTTTAAGACCGAATCATTAGTCAATGTGGAGACACGAGGACCCCAGAGATCCAGAGACCAGATCCAGAGACCAAAGCCGGACTCCATCGAGTTCTGAGGCAGACTGAGGCAGATGGATTTGCATAAGGACCAGTGGGACCAGAGCCCAGAGGCAATAACAACAACAAGACCAGATAAAAGGACAGGACCAGGAGAGCAAGAATGAGCCAGGACCAGGACTGAATCAGGACTAAAATAGACCTGCTATAGTTCTGCTTCTGTCCTGGGTTCTACTGCTACCTACTGTTCTTACTATCACTACTACTAATCCTACAAGTAGTACTACTAGGATTAAAGCAGGTCTAAAGCAGCACTAATACAGGATTGAGCACAGGACTAATGCAGGCCTAAAACAGGACTAAAGCAGCAGTGAACTAGGTCTAAAACAGGTCTAAACCAGGACTAAAGCAGGTCCCTCTTGTGTTAGTTCATTTTTCATAAGTGTCTCTGTTGTGAGCGATGACTTGTCGTGGCTCAGGGGAGACTTTTATCACTTCTGCTGACTCATGCATTATGGATGTACAGGTCTCTAATCCCACTGCCACCAGAACAAGCAGGAATCAGGACCAAACCAGGAATAAACCAGGACTAAACCAGGACTAAACCAGGGCTAAACCAGGACCAAACCAGAACTAAACCAGAACAAGAACAGGACTAAACCAGGAATAAACCAGGACTAACCCAGATATAAACCAGGACCAAACCAGAACTAAACCAGGACTAGAACAGGACTAAACCAGGAATAAACCAGGACTAAACCAGGACTAAGGGTGCTTTCACACCTGCACAATTTAGTCCACTTGAAACGGACTGGAGTTTGGAACACCTGCAAGTGGACCAGTTCAATTTGGTCCGGACTAAAGAACCGCACCGAGACCAACTTATGGAGCTGGTCTCGGTGCGGTTCCATGTGGACTCCAGTACGGTTCACTGCTGGTGAGAACACTGACCTGCCTCGATATGGCCCTGCTCTGTTGCGTAGCTCACTTTTTGACACACACATAGTGTTGTTTATATGATAGAATAGTCCATATTTGGTTTTGCAATGATCAATAGTGAATAACTGATGATTCTCTGATTCTGTGAACAGGAATATGTAACATCCACAGTGGTTGGTTCATTTGCAAAAACACTGATGTGAATGAGAACCGAACTAGTTGAGAACTGCAACATTGTAACAACTGTAGGGCCCAATCAAACCACTTTACTGGACCAACAGATGTGAAAGCACCCTAAACCAGCACTAAACCTTTTCACATTTTACTACCACAAACTTTTTACTGCTTCATTTCTCTAGCAAATTAATATTTCTACAACTCCCCAGACTTATAAGTTTTACATTATTAGCGAAATCATAAACTACGTTACTTCCACTCAATATGTCTTCATAACAAGACAGATTCAGATTCAATTTATTTGCCATTTGCAGTAAAACCACATTGGAATACATTAGCAAAAGACAAAATGTGGAGAGACCTAAGTGGGACTAGTCCAAAAGGAGGCTTGTCTTTAGCATTGCCTCTAGCATACGGTGGTACGATATCGAGTGGGCGTGACATTAGCATGCTAATTAGTGCTCCATACAACTGTATTGATCCGCGAGCGATCATTGTACACCTCTGAGTCTCGCTCTTGTCAGAAAACGCTGTGGAGATAGTTTTTTTTTTTTGCGGAGGAAGAGAGACAAATCCTGCAATCGAACACAACACTAATTTATGCTAAACACACGAAACGGAGCTGGTAATCACGGATATTTGACCAGTCAGCGAATGCATCACAAGCCACGGGTCAACAAGAGAATACTGATGAGAGAGGAGGTTGAGGTGGACATGGTTTGGAACAGGTTTAGACCACGGAGAGACCAGGGAGAGACCAGAGTGAGACCAGGGAGAGACCAGAGAGAGATCAGGAGAGACCAGAGAGAGATCAGGGAGAGACCAGGGAGAGCAGAGTGAGACCAGGGAGAGACCAGGGAGAGACCAGGGAGAGACCAGAGAGAGATCAGGGAGAGACCAGGGAGAGACCAGAGAGAGACCAGAGAGAGACCAGGGAGAGACCAGGGAGAGACCAGAGAGAGATCAGGGAGAAACCAGAGAGAGATCAGGGAGAGACCAGAGAGAGACTTGAGAGATTAGAGAGTGACCATAGAGAGACCAGAGTGAGTCAGAAGCAGAGACTGTAATCTCTATTTTATCACTTCGTCTTCACTTTCACTGAAAAACAGCAATAATGTGCTGCTTCACCATGGCAACAGTGACACAAAGCAAAGTAGTTTCTCATTAAAGTACAAGTGGAGCTGTCCATGGTGCTTGTTTTTAGTCTTTTTTTTATGTGGGGTCCTTAGAAAGGTTTCAGTCCAATAGACATGCTTGAATCCTTGCTTTAGTCGGGCTTTAGTCCTGCTTTAGACCTACTTTAGACCTGATTCAGACCCTGATTCAATCCCTGTGTCACGATAATTTTATACACTTGTTTTAGATCTAGATTTAGGACCTGGTTTAGTCCTAGTTTAGACCTGGAACAGACCTGGTTTAATTGTGTGATCCCGGCTCATCTCATCTCAAACTCCATAAAACATGTTTGTAGATACATTTATTTTCTGTTGTTTTATCCGATCTGGACTGAGCCAAACAGCTGTTTTCACCTGATGTGACCTGAACCAGAACATACTCATTTTTCATGGTCTTTATCTGATTCCAGTTTCTGCGTCGTGTCGTGTTTGAAGCCTCTTAAATCTCATCGTTATCGCGTCACTTTTATTTATTCAAAAAGGAAATGTTCCACTTTGCTCTTGTCGATGTTTCCAGATCTGTCGCAGCGTACGAAGATTTGTTTAAGACTAAAGATAGAGACTAAAGCAGAGACTGAAGTAGAGACTGGAGCAGAGACTAAAGCAGAGACTTAAAGTAGAGACTGGAGCAGAGACTGTACTTTCTCTTTTTCTCTAAATAGTTGTGTTGTCTTTCTGGGTGATTTTCCGCTCGGAGAGCAGTGGAAGTCCAGCTTCACTTTCCTCTTAAACAGTTTGTCCTCCAAGAGTCAAGGGACGAGACGAGAGCTGAGGAGAATGAGAATGAGGAAAATAAGGAAATACTATCACTACTACGTCTACTTCTTCTTCTACTACTACTACTACTACTACTACTACTACTACTACTACTACTACTACTACTACTACTACTACTACTACTACTACTACTACTACTACTACTACTACTACACTAATACTAATACTAAATCAACAACTACTACTGCTGCTACTACTACTGCACCTGTTAAGCATATGTTCAGATGTGTTGCTGTTAAAAGGCTATATTTAGATGTACATATACATTCATACTATATGAGGGCAACAATTAAATAAGAATAATATATAATATAATAATCAAATTATGCATGAAAGGAATATCATTGGAAAAAAAATATATATAAAAGATGAATGTGCCGCAGAATTAGCATTCAATTATTAATTAAACATGTAATTATTCATATTTCATGGCGTGTGCATGTATTACATGTGGCGCTCAAAGTCCAGTACAATCATCAAGATCCTGTTTTATTATTGAAAAACGGATTCTTATTTTATTATGAAGGACTCGAGCGGATGTGTAGCTCTACGTTTCCGGGTTGACAGATGTAAACAACAGCAGCACGTGCCCGCTACCCTGATGCTGTTATCACCCTGTTTTTACACCGATTTAAGGCAAAACACGTGGAATCCGGAGAAGGGTCAATGACAGATACCGGTGAGTGCAGACTTTGATGTCGTTGTGGAAACAGCTCCAGTAGAAGTCTCAGAGTCTTCTACTGTTCACCTCCACAAGCTACTGTTATTACTAATACACATCTATGAGATTAGAAAACACTGACAGCTGAGTACAACACCAGGAGACTGAAGGAACCACTACTACTGCTACTACTACATCTACTGCATCTACTACATCTACTGCATCTACTGCTACTACCATGGCTAATACTATTACTGCTGTTATTACTACTACTGCTACTATTATGGCTAGTACTTTTGCTGCTACTAGTACTACTACTACTGCTACTATTATGGCTAGTGCTATTAGTGCTACTTATACGACTACTACTACTACTACTACTACTACTACTACTACTACTACTACTACTACTACTACTACTACTACTACTACTACTGCTGCTACTACTACTACTACTCCTATACTACTACTACTACTAAAGCTACTGCTTCTGTTGTGAATGATAACAGTATGTTTTGGGGTCAAGAAATAAGGTTTAAGATAATAAATTCATTCTCTGACTGTCATGTATGAAGGAGGACCCAAAAAGTGCAAAACTAACGATATAATGAAGACAATAAAATAAAAGTCCAGGGGAAAAATAAATCATAAAAATCTAAACGAAACTCAGGAAAATAGACAGACAAACACAAGCAATAGACAATGGATCAGCCACAAGGGGGAGAGGAGCACAGGTACAAATAGACACTGACACAAGTGACACACATGAGGGCAGGGCAGACAGTCAACACAGGGTCACAGGGCAGGAAGTAAAACTGAAAACAAACTACAGATAACTGATGTCAAAATAACACAAAATCCACAACATGACAGTTAGAGATTTTCTACTTTCTTCTTTATTTTGCTAAAGTTAGAGATTTTATACATGCTCGCTTATTTGTGTGCTCCTCATTCCTGCTGTTCTGTACCCGGCGATGCAACACTGACATTTCCCCACTCTGGGACGATCCCTTCATTTAAATCTTAATCTTAATCCTAATCTTAATCTGAGGGGTGTGATGTCGGTGTTAAACCTGTCCTTCGCGGCCTGTGGCTTCATGGGGGTCTACCACCTGGGAGCAGTGGGGGCGTTCCTCCGTCGCTGCCCCAGGACCGGCTCCTCTCCTGGGGTTTGTCCCGCGGCCTGCGCTGGGGCCTCTGCTGGAGCTCTGGTGGCTGCTGTCGTCATCACTGCACCAGAGAAACTACAGGTGAGACCAAAGAGAGAGAGAGAGAGATACCAGAGAGAGAGAGAGATACCAGAGAGAGAGAGACCAGAGAGAGACTAGAGAGAGAGAAACCAGAGAGAAAGAGACCAGAGAAAGAGAGACCAGACAGAGACCAGACAGAGACTAGAGAGAGAGAGACCAGAGAGAGAGACCAGAGAGAGACCAGCGAGAAAGAGACCAGAGAGATACCTGAGAGAGAGAGAGAAAGACCAAAGAGAGAGACCAGAGACAGAGATCAGAAAGAGAGAGACCAGAAAGAGACCATGAGAGAGACAAGGGAGAGATTGGAGAAAGACCTGAGAGAAAGAGACCAAAGAGAGATTAGAGAGAGACAAGAGAGAGGGAAACCAGAAAGAGAGGGACTAGAGACAGAGACCAGAGAGAGGGAGACCATGAGAGAGACCTGCGAAAGAGAGACCAAAGAGAGATTAGAGAGAGACCAGAGAGAGAATTCAAACAGAGACCTGAGAGAGAGAGAGAGAGAGAGACCAAAGAGAGACCAGAGAGAGAAACCAGAGACAGAGACCAGAGGGAGAGAGAAACCAATCCATTTGTTATTTACTAATTGTTATGAAAACACAGTGATGTGTCTCTTCTCTGCAGGAGTGCACAGACTTCACCTACGCCTTCGCACACCGTGTGAGATCACAACCACTAGGAGCCATCACCCCTGGGTTTGACTTCATGAGAGAGCTACGGTAAGAGACAAGAGAGAGACCAGAGAGAGACCAGAGAGAGATCAGAGAGAGATCAGAGAGAGATCAGAGAGAGATCAGAGAGAGATCAGAGAGAGACCAGAGAGAGATCAGAGAGAGACCAGAGAGAGACCAGAGAGAGAGCAGAGAGAGACCAGAGAGAGACTAAAGAGAGACCAGGGAGAGACCCAGGGGAAGAACAGAGAGAGACCAGAGAAAGAGAGAGAGACCATAAATGACCACAGATGTAATTTAAGCTCTCTTGTTTCAGGTCTGTGTTGAACATTAGTACTGCTTTCTCGCGTTGTTCTTCTTCTTCTGTTTGGATCAAAGCGTGACCTTCAGACTCCTGCGTTTGTTCATTAACAGCTTAATAATAATAATGACCTGAAGCGAGACTAGAGCGAGATTACAGCGCTTTACGAGCTCGTTCACTTTTATCACCCACAGCAGAGGGTTCCAGTGGATCTGAGGCACGTCACAAATATAAGAGGAGAGAGAGAGAGACCAGGGAGAGACCAGAGAGAGACCAGAGAGAGACCAGAGAGAGACCAGAGAGAGACCAGAGAGAGACCAGAGAGAGACCAGAGAGAGAGACCAGAGAGAGAGACCAGAGAGAGACCAGAGAGAGACCAGAGTGAGAGACCAGAGAGAGAGACCAGAGAGAGAGACCAGAAAGAGAGACCAGAAAGAGAGACCAGAAAGAGAGACCAGAGAGAGACCAGAGAGAGACCAGAGAGAGAGACCAGAGAGAGACCAGAGTGAGACCAGAGAGAGAGACCAGAGAGAGAGACCAGAGAGAGAGACCAGAGAGAGAGACCAGAGAGAGACCAGAGAGAGAGACCAGAAAGAGAGACCAGAAAGAGAGACCAGAAAGAGAGACCAGAGAGAGACCAGAGAGAGACCAGAGAGAGAGAGACCAGAGAGAGAGAGACCAGAGAGAGACCAGAGAGAGACCAGAGAGAGACCAGAGAGAGACCAGAGAGAGAGACCAGAGAGAGAGACCAGAGAGAGAGACCAGAGAGAGAGACCAGAAAGAGAGACCAGAAAGAGAGACCAGAGAGAGACCAGAGAGAGACCAGAGAGAGACCAGAGAGAGAGAGAGAGACCAGAGAGAGAGACCAGAGAGAGAGACCAGAGAGAGAGACCACCAGAGAGAGACCAGAGAGAGACCAGAGAGAGACCAGAGAGAGACCAGAGAGAGACCAGAGTGAGAGACCAGAGAGAGAGACCAGAGAGAGAGACCAGAGAGAGAGACCAGAAAGAGAGACCAGAAAGAGAGACCAGAGAGAGACCAGAGAGAGACCAGAGAGAGACCAGAGAGAGAGACCAGAGAGAGAGAGACCAGAGAGAGATCAGAGAGAGACCAGAGAGAGACCAGAGAGAGACCAGAGAGAGACCAGAGAGAGACCAGAGAGAGACCAGAGAGAGAGACCAGAGAGAGAGACCAGAGAGAGAGACCAGAGTGAGAGACCAGAAAGAGAGACCAGAAAGAGAGACCAGAGAGAGAGACCAGAGAGA